AGAAATATGAGTTAATATAAAGGGGCAATAAATTGATCTGTAAAAAATGTCTTAGTACTATAGTAAACCTTAAATGTGATTGGAGGAAGATATGCAAATAAATTATGATATTCCCCCGAAATGTGTGAAAATATATTTTCCCCAAAAGTGTGAAAATCGCACATTTTTCCCCAAAAAAGGGCTAGGGCGCCTTCCCCAGAACTAGTGAAAGGTCCTGATATGTTTTGAAGTAAAGATGGAGTAACATTTATATATTATTATTATATGTATATATTTTTAGTAGAAACTTAATAAAAATGTAAGGAATAAATAGAAAGTAGTGTCACACAATTTGATAAACAAAACTAGTCGCGTGTGACCTTTCACATCTGGGCCGCTTATGTAAATTATGCGGCCGCTTATTGACTTTTAAGTGTACTAGTTGTCGGATACTTTTATCTTACGTTGGCGCCAACAAAACTTGCCAATTAAAGATTTTATGTGAAATTTGTACAAAATTAGAAGGCAATTAATTGAAAATGATGATTTTTATAAAATACCGGTTTTCCAAAAATCGTACCGCGGTTCGAAATTTATTTTTTCATATTGCAATATATCGGTATACTGGTAAACCGTTACACCCTTAGTAACTTTAAGACAAGTTGTTTTATTGATTGTTTATATTTTACAAAGGTAATGGGGTGAGTTTCATCTTTGTATGATTTTGAAATTTTTTTTAGTGAAAATTGATGTCATCAAACTGTTCTGAATCTTAGCATACTGTTACATTTAACAGGGTTTTTTTTTTGCTATATAACTGTAGCCGTTTAACGGCTACTTCCCCAGCTGAAAAAAAATTCCCCTTGAGCTAAAAAATTCCCCTTGGTCTGAATAAAATCAACTATTATGGCTTGCTTGTTTAAAAAATCATATTTTTGTTCAAAAAGTTCAAATTTTTATAGGCCTACAGTGTTTGATATTACCGATTAAAAAGTAAAAAGTACAAAATTATGCCGACGATCGGCAACCCTCTCCATTACGCTGATCATATCTCTAAAAATTCTGTCTTTGTGAAAATTCTCCTCAAAATATGCAAACATTTGTAAAAATATGTAATATTATTTATTCTTACAGATTTCAATCATAGTCTGGAGGAACATGGAGTTATATTAATACCAAAAATCGGCAAAATATTCTATTATCACATATTTTCGCGACCTACTTCCTGTTTGATTTTCGGCTTGAATTTGGAGAGGCATGTGTTAGTTTAAGTAAATAAATTACAAAACATAAATCAGTCAATTGATTTTTGTGCATCATGTGTCAAAATGTCCATTGGGAATCATCATCTAATTAATTTAAAACTTAATGCAGTTTTTACATAGAAAAATCAAAGCAACCATTCTGAAATAAATAGGGGAGGTGTGTGAGGAGGGTACAACAATGTTGAAGCTTGGCAACATCACAAATGATATTGAATCAAGTGATTCCAACTTAAAAAAAATGGTTTTGTATGTTTAAGGAATTCAAGGCCAAAGATCTGAACTGTTTTCATTGTTTATGACTCACCTGACTTTTAGGGCATGTGTTTATTGTTAATTTTAAAGTTATTTACTCATTTTTTAATGTAATAGATTTTCCCCAAAATGTCATTTTATCGCGCATTTTTTCCCCAACTGAAAGGCCAGGCCTTTTCCCCAAAATTGAAAAAAAAGCCCTGCATTCAATCATATAATACCTAACCAAAATTAATGTATTTATACGCTGACTCAGTGACTGACCAGTTTATCATTCCACAGGAAAATCTTGCTATGGGTTTTAATATGAGCAATTATAATAAGATGCTGCTTGCAAAGAAGTAAATATCTCCAAACAACGTCAAATTCATAGGACAAGATTTACTCCGACTCTCTTAAGGTTTTTAGGGATTATAATGAGGGTTATGTGGTAAATTGTTAAAAAAATATTAAAGATGATTACATTTTTTGTTCTCCAACAAAATTGAGAGTTAAATTAGCACTCGTCAGACCTTAAGGCATAGAATAACAGTTTATTCATAGGTCTCTGACTGATTTTACAAACCTTAATATAACAATATATACATGTATGCCCTTCTTTGTTTCAATGAATTTACAAAATTTCACCTGATCCAGGAAAAATTCCGTTGAAATTGGTCCGACTTTCTTTAAAAATATAATAATTTCATATTCAGCTATATTAACTATGCGGCCATCCTTAAAAAAATGTTTGTTTGCAGTAACCCGACCCAGAATTTTCAAGGTGGGTAGGTAGGTCAATTTTTTTTTTTATTATTTATTTAACTGTACTCCCAAATAAACATGGAATTTCAAAATGCTGGACAATATATGCTTTGATAATCTGGTAACAATTACTAAATTAGTTTAATTACTGAATTCTAATTTAATAAGACCTTCATTTTATTTCTTCTTTTAACCTTTAACAGAACGAAAACAAAGCACAAGGCATAATTTTCTGACCATGAAAAAAAATTTGAGTAGGAGCAAATTTTGTGAGTCAGTCGTGTAACTGCAAACAAACATTTTATTAAGGATGGCCTGTAATGGATGTCTGCTTATCACAAAAAAATTAATATGCCTGATAATGTAAATATTTTAATACTATATTAGTACAATTAAAAGTTGTATTATTTTCAGGGTAAAGGGCGTGGTCGGGGAAAGAAGGTGGAGGAAGAGGTACAAGAAGAGGAGGAAACACAAGATGTAGAAAACAATGATGAGGTACAAAATGATTGACTCTACGGCTGATTCAATTGATGCTTTATATTCTATATTGTTCATTGTTGCTTTGCAATAGCTGGATATTTTTTTTATTTTCAGTGTAAAGGTACTACTCAAGTAGTTACTGAATGTTAGCAATGTTATATATATACAAGTACACATTTCTTCTTTAGACAATTATTCAAAATTATAAACTTACAGGATTGCAACTTATTTAATTTCTGTAGAATTCAACTATGCATTGGTTCTAAGCCATATTGTTGGATTTTTACAGCAAAATTCCCAATATGGATCTGACATGATAATTGCATAAATCTGACTGCTATAATTTGATCAACAACTTTCTAATTCTAAACTATAAAATGATAATGTTTTTATTTCAACCCTTTTGAGAAAATTGACCCCATAATGTTTTTATTGTAGCTTTTTTGAGAAAATTGACCCCAAAATGCTTTTCTTTTACACTTTTTGTGAAAATTGACCCCTTTTATGGCCCTAACAGAAAGTATAAAGTTAGTCATAGCTGACCATGGAAATAATTACCTGATCTGTTCAATATTGCATATCTTTTGTTAATGTTAACAGTATTTTTGGATCTGCTAAGTTTCCAGACTTATTTTATTTTGCTTTGTTTAACTTTACTTTGCTGTCTAAGTGTTGTTTTTATTTTGCTGAAAAAATATATAGCAAAGCTTGATCATTTAAAATGTTACTATTTCTACAGCCTTTTCTAATACAGGGCTTCTGTCAAAGGTACTGCAGGGACCCTTCCCTTATATTTATTTTTGAAAATGTTGAAGAAAACACTTTTATGGAAATTGGATTTGGGGAGAAAACTGCATGATTTTAAATAATTTTCAGAGAGGAAGTAGCCATAAAAAAACCACTACTGTAAATGGGGAAAACAGCCCTGTAATATATATGCTTGAGATTGTGAAAATTAAATTTTCAAGCTTTGCATTATACAGTTACAGTAACTCTGATACTATGTGGATATGGCATGAAATATATTGGTCTTTTGAGGCTATGAAAAATAATTTCAAGTGTTGAAGTATAGTATAGCATAGTATTTGAGTATTGTTTAAGCTGCAGATATATCACCTAAGCTGAAGACTGCTATGTTTAAAATTGGCTGATCTTTTCATTTTTCTTACAAAAACCAGCAATAAGATTTGTAGAATATTGGAAACTAACAACTATTATATTACATTTGAAAAAAATGTATATATATAAATAGGTAATACAATTAAGATAAAAAAAAAATTGAGATCTGTTTGTCTTAAAATGTCATTTTGTAAAGTTTTTTCTCAGTTTGAAAGGGGAGGAGGAATTATATTTTTGCTTTTAGGAAAACACTTGATTCAAAACACCAATACCTTTTAACACCAATTTAAAATGTGAAATGGAAAAAAAAGGTTTGTTTTCCTTACAACATACAAATGTTACAATTTGAAAAGTCTTGAACTTGGGTGATAATATGCTTGCAGAGCTGCATGAATCTGTTATATTCTGGCTATTTAGTATTTGCTATGTGCTGTGTTAATTTAGGACAGTCAGGATGTACCAAGCAATGACATGGAAACATCACAGGAAGTAGAAGACAGTGAAGAGCCCAAACAAGAAGACAATGCTAATAAAGTAAGTGGGGCAGAAAGTAGTTCCAGTATGCAGCTGCAAAATGGGGTTCATCTGCTACTTCATAGAAAGTAGTTCCTAGGTCATATTTATGTATATTGATCATAGGATGAAAAAGATGGATTGGTATCTCCTCATGCAGGTATTTGCATTGTGAAATGGGACTAGAGTTAACAAAGAAAGTAGTTCTTGAAGATGTAGATTTTAGTAGGGTTACAAACATGAATATATTAAAACAGTAATTCCATAAGCGTCACAAGAATTGGCTGAAGGTTTTTTCAGAATAAATGCACCAGATTGGTTACAGTTTGAAAGTTTTCAATAACATAAGTAGCCCACTATCATTAAAAGTCGTATTTCAGTCTTGAGTACACTAAATTGTATCCTGGCTCCAGGGTTATAAAACATTTTCCTGAGATCTAGCTGGAATCTCCGGATTTTCATTGGTCCATTCACATTCTGTACCTGTTTCTGACCAATCAAATACCCGAGATCTGAGTTTGAGGTTAGAATATTTCTTTATAACCTCAGCCCCAGGTTACACAGTAGATTAGACTCGCAATGTAAAGATTGGAGTGAAGGACAGTATAACAGGAAGGGAAGTCAGTATCTGCATACTTCAACTTGTATAAATGCAGGTAAGAAACTCCCCAGTTCCAGAATAAGGTGAGGGCTGTCTTAATGAGGAAATTTAACTAGGCAGAATATTGTTGTTTTTTTATAGGAAGAAGAACAAACCACAGATGGTGATCAAGACACTGCTGATGAAGAACAACAACAAGGTTTGTAAAAATGAGCCGCGTCATGACAAAACTAACATAGTGCGTTTGCGACCAGCATGGATCCAGACCAGCCTGCGCATCCGCGCAGTCTGATCAGGATCCATGCTGTTGGCTTACCAACTCTATTACAAGTAAAGAAACTGACAGCGAACAGCATGGATGCTGATCAGACTTAGCGGATGCCCAGGCTGGTCTAGATCCATGCTGGTCGCAAACCCATTATGTTGGTTTTGTCATGACAGGCTCAAATTATTATAATTTCTATAAGTTTAAGAGTAATGTTTGTTATGTCCTTTAACAAGCACCTTGTCTATTAGTATTACTTAGAGCTATAAATAGGAGGTATTTGAAAGAAACTCCTAACAGTGGTGTCAAAAATTCATAATTGGTCTATTGTTGTGAACTTTTTTCCTCAAATTTACCTAGCTTAAAATTATAGGGATAGGACTAATGGTACCCTTTTCCTAAAATGGCAGAAAAAGCAGAAACACAAATGTTAAAAAATTGAAATTTGACAGTGAGGTTAATCGGGTTATTATGTAGTACATGTGCAATTATCTTTCCTTATTCAATTCCAAAGAATAAATTAAGATTATTTGATATTACTGTATTGCATAGGGAAACATGATGATTAATTACTTTAGGGCTAAGTCAATACATGTTTTCTGTTTCAGAGAAAGGTGGACAGAAGAGAAAAGCTGAAGAAGAAAATGGAGATGATGAAGATGATGATGATGAGGAGGAAAAATCTCCCGCCAAAAAGATGAAGACCGAACCAGACCCAAACAGTAATATAACTGGCATACCTGATAACAAGATTATATAATAGATTTATTGTATATAATGTGCAGTCATCTTTGAGTATAAGCTGAAAAATTTACTACAGAAAAGATGTTTAAATTTGCCTAGGAAATATGTAAATATCTTTGATATTTTGGTAATTATCCTTTTGATTTCTGCATTTAGTGAATGGACTTGCATGTTATCTTTGAAATGATGTCATTGTTGATTGAAGGAATATCAGTAATTATGCAGTCTGGTCAGACTGTTAACATTTTGCAGGCTGCTATGTGTCAATAATTGTGGAAAAGGTGAGCATATATAACTGATAGTGCACATTAAGGTACCCTATAATTTCTTTATATTTGCAGGACCAGTGACAATGTTTTGCGGTAACCTTGACCCTGATCTTACATCTGACACGCTGAGAGGTTTCTTTGAAATGAATGGCATTGATGTTACAAACCCAAGAAAAATTGGCTTCAAAAGGTATTTTTCCTGTACATTTTACGCCCCTGAGTAAGCAAGTTGCCTTATTGAGTAGTTCATAACACAGTTCAGTTTCACAGGCAGGAAAATGTGAGGACCCAAGTCTCTGCCAACATGTGTCTAGAAAAATAAATATTGGTGAAATCTTTACAGAACGAGAGAGTATAGAAGTAACTCTGTTAATTTTCATGTTTGAAGAGTTCCTTTTTCTGAAAGATTTTTGTTGGGGAAAAGAAAAAAACTGACTTGTATACAAAATTAAGTCTGCGCTTTCAAAGAAATGTTAGGCGAGATATTTTTTTTCTAAAACTGTGGCCACTCTTGTATGCTTGCAAAACTGAAATGGTGCTTTGATTTGATTGTTTTTGTGTTTTTTTTCCAGTAATTATTTTTTTTGTTTTTCAGTAATTATTTTGCTGAAAGTCTAATATTAATCTTTTATTTATTTGACAAAGAACATGTATTATTTGTCAAATTGATGTTTTAAGTTAAACAAGATCCTACAATGAAAAGACATGCAAACAGGTGCAGTAATGAGATGAAGCATAATAAACTAAAATTTCTTTAAGTTACTACAGCAAAATAAAATGTAATTACAGTATCAGTTTGAAGTCATATGACATTAGTCTGGCACGGAACGGCACCTGAGGTCTTCCTCCACCAGTAAAGCTGGAACGTCGCCATATGACCTATACTGTGTCGGTGTGACATAAAACCAAACAAACAAACATTAGTATGTTTATATCAGATCTGTAGCCACCCTCACTGTATTTGGTAGTTATGTAGATGATAAAGTTGTTATTTTTTGTCTCCATGCTTCTATTGTATCATAAACACACACAAACACAAACTACAATACATAATATCCTGTACAAAATAAATTGCACACTGAGCATTTCAGCATAGGACTTCAAACCACTTGCCCCTCACCGCTGTGGGTTCGAATCCCAACAGGGACTTTGTATTCTTACATGTGAGAAAGCTATCCAGCTAGCTTATGGAACGTCCGTGGTTCTTAGGTGCCCGTTTGTGCCTGAAATAATGCACGGAAGGGCACCTGAAGTCTTCCTCCACCAGTAAAGTTGGAATGTCGCGATATGACCTATACTTTTGTTGATGAGACGTAAAACCCAAAACAAACAAACAAACAAATTTCAGCATAGCATCTAAGAACTGTTTCTATGTAACACAGATTAGTATTTTTGCAGTCATACAAGTATTTTAGATATGGACTGTTAATTTTATATTTATAATTTATTTGAAAGGACCATTAAAGTTTTGTCATAGAGGATTGCTGTACTGTATTGTTTTGGGTTAGTTTGAAATGGAAGAGAGAGAGAGGATATTTTGCCATTTGATAAGTCTTCAGGGATTTTTTGGGGGCTTATATTATAGCCGATATTCAGTCATATTCCCAATTGAAAAAAGTATATAGTTTTCCCTATCCACAGGAAAAAATTCCAAATTAAAATTTACAGAACAAAAATACCTTATAAAAAATCTAAAATCTTTGAAAATAAGGCCTTCTTTACTGTTGTAGTGCTTGATTGCTTGAAGATGCCATCCTATACAGTAATTGTTTGCATTTATTTAATCATCATGCATTATTTCCATTTTTTTAACAAAATATTGTTGAAATTCCCAATTCCATGGACAAGGGTATGGGTCATGTTCCAAAAATCCTTGAAAAATATTCCTGACAATTCCTGACACAAAAGATGAATTGATGAAAAGATATTGAATGGACTGTGTAATAAAATTATAAATTAAAAGATTCATAGCTTTAATAAAACTAAATGCAAGAGAAATACTACATTTCATGAATATTAAACCTCTTTAAGACTCTATAAATGAAACAGCCAGTAAACTAATCGTATATTTTCTTTAACACAAAAGGGCTGTTTATAATTTAATTTAAACACTTCATAGTTGTGTTTTCAATCGCTTGTTCCTTTTACAATTTTAAACAAGTGTTATGAAATACATATGGCCAGCCTATTCAGTGAATATGGAACAGTGGGTTTGTTACTAGTCTAATCTGATGCCACTAAGGCGATCATTGTGGATCTTTAAAATGACCTGTTGGCCTTGAAATGCCCCTAAAATATCCTAGAGTCTCTTGTTTCACTTTCCTTAGGAACCATGATGAAAAAGTTGATAAGAATATGTGTTAAATGCTTGGAAGTTATGCCAATGTAGACTATTATTTTTCAGCTGTCTCTTGTCCATATTGTTATAAATATAGTTGTAATAAGGAATGGCACATAACAGACACAAAAATTGTCTAAATGTAATCAAAGGATAATTTGAAGAAGTTATACTTCATGTCTGATACTGAAATGAATATTGAATTGTTCCGGCTAGCGACGAAATGTCTGTGGTTCTATTCGGGTGCTGGTTCGTGCATGAAATAATGCACGGTGGGGTACCTGAACCCGAGGTCTTCCGCCACCAGTATAGTTTGAATGTCGCCATGTGGCATTTACTGTGTTGGTGTAGGGTAAAACCCAATCAAAGAAGAAAAAAACTGAATTATATTGTAGATGCCCAGTATGGTCTCGGACTGTACTACTGTATCTCTACTATATAGTATTTTGTAGCCAGATTATGTCCGAATATTAGCTAGACTTACTGTAGAAGAGATGAGCCACTATTAATTTTTCATCTCTTATGCAGTAACAATATTGTAAAGCTGCATGCCTCCAGATGAGCCAAAATATTTCAAGAAAATCAAACTTAAGAACAATGTACTAAGATTTTAAGAAATGTAAATGATTCAAGTGATAATTTACATGTTATCATTATGTGCAATTACTAATTGATTTGCAAGTTTTTAATATTTTGACCTCTTTCTGGAAATTTACATGGACTGTAAGTGCCTTTTAAAAGCTATTTGCAATGCTTAAATTACTATCTTTTGTTCACTTAACAATATTTTACTTTTAAATACATCTCCAAAAATGTCATGAAAATAAGCATTAATCTGGAGGCATGCTTCTTTGACAATGAGGATACTTTCATATGTCTGCTTTAAGACATCAGTTGTGTATACTTGGCGTCAGAATGGACTACAGATAAAGTATTTGATGTGAAAAAATATATAGGAATAGACAACCTCTATAGTCTGGTTTTACAATTTATAAGACTTTTGTGTAGAGAAATTCTAAAATATTATATAGACCCCTTCTGTTTAGCTAAGAGATGATTTTGATATGCAGGCAATGATATCAGTGTTTGTGACTTGATCATGGGAATGTTTGAACATATATTACAATTCTGGACACATTTAGCTCCCCGTTTTACTGCTTTATTTTTAGTTATCATGGCATTAACCTTATAGTAATTAATTTATAAGGGTAACGATCATTTCAACAACAGATTTTACAGTTGTCCGAATGCCTTGACAATATCAATATATTTTATAGTTGTCATCAAAGGTTGTTTACATATAAATGTATATATCTTTGGTTTAAATACCACATTGATATGTTTTAAGAAAACCAGTTTGGTGATATTTTTCTTTCTAAACAGTAGAAGAATTTAAGATATATAGATCTTTGAAATAATGGTCTGAATTGTATGATTTGCCTAAGATAGTATATTTGAGAGCATACTAGTATTGCTTCATAATTACTTGTCTGCCGGTTTTGCTTCCAAGGGAGAGAATCCCATTTGTAATCCAGGAGTTGCAAGTTTGACCGTAGGGCAAGGCATTTGCCATGAAAAGATGAAGTTTTGTTGGATATATATAGAAAAAAAGTAAAAATATTGAATTTAGCCCTGATTACTTCTAGTAATTTGGTACATTCCATTTTGGTTTTTTAGTTGTGAGCCAATATGACAGTACAAGGCCAATTTATAAGAAAGCCAATAAATAATAACCTATTGACTGTAATTTTATTATTGAACAATGGTACTTGAATACATATTCAAGTTATATAACTTTATTTAGTAACAGTTTGATTATTTATAAATACGTAATAACAGAAAAATTAAAGTGACATTATGCCGAACCAAGTGAAACAGATAGAAAGAAAAAGAACTTGACATTTTGCCGTGATTGTGTTCAAATTTACATTTTACAGTGATAAAATAACCAATATAAATTTCTCAGAATGTATTGGTTATAATCATTTCTTAAAAATGGATTTAAGTGTTTTTATGATTTAGGTAGTTTTTATATTGTACCTTAAAATTTTTTTTATTCTTTGGTATTTGTCAATCACAATTATAATTGACAATCTTTTGAAATAATATTACTAATTCAACTGGACTTGACAGCGACAAAATAAGCATAATGTCACTTAAGTTATCTAACTGATAACAGTACAGTTATAAACAAAATTACTAACAGATCCTTGGGTATGTTATCATTCATTATTTTACTATCCAATATTTCAAATGAAAAAGAAAAAACAAAAACAAAAAGAAGAAAAAAGATAATACTTTTTACACTATGTTACATAAAATGTATCATATTGGACCTGTCTCCTATTGGGCATTATTGACTGGTATTACCATGTTAAGATAGATTGGCTGCAAAGCTGAAGTACAGACGGGGTAGAAAAGCTAGTTCGATATGATATCAATATATCATTAGTTGAGTGATAATTTTTGACATAAATGTCATCATACTTGTTTACATGGGCTGTCGACTACAATGCTTATTTACCCCGCCTGAATTAGACGACTACAGTATAAAGCCAGACCAGCCTGCACATCTGTTTAAACTGACCAGGATCTTTACTGTTGCCGGACTTCAGATTTTATTCTTGACAACCCCAAAGTTGATAATGGACAGTTCCATATATGGAAGATGGATTTTTAAAGAAATTCAGAAGGCTTAGTGTCGATATACCAAATGCTGGTGGTATGTGGAGAAATGCTACAATACACATTGTATAGCAACAAGAAGTCATCGTTAATATCATCCAGTGTCTGATGTATGGGATATTTGCTGTAACAAGGAATGTTTTATTTTAAGCATTTCATCACTTACAAGCTGTCATGCATATCAATTTATGATAAGTCTCTTGATTTATACTAGTTTTTGCACCTGGCCGATAACACATATTTTATTTGTGCTGTGCCAGTTTTTGTTGGCAGCTTGTATTGACCGAGTTGGTCTCACAATAGCTTATATGACTGAGGAGTCCAAGCACCAAGTACCTTGTCTGGCTGTATTTAAATATCAATCTTAGTAGTAGCTTTATTGACCGTATAGTCTGTAGTAACCGTGGCAACAACCAAACTGTCCGAAGAAAGAGAGTGACCGAAATGTCTGCTGAAATGGTAAAACACCGAATCTAGAATGTCTGCGGGTATGGTAAACCTATTCTTGTCTTTGCACTCCGAATTTTACTTTTTTGCTCCGTGTCTCATTTAATCTCTTGCTCCGTGTCTGTTGTATTCATATATCATTATATTGCTCCGAGTCTGAAAGCTGGCTAGCTGTCTGTTTCAAATTGTCCATTATAGCTACATGGAATATCTAGAACTAGTCGCTATTCATTGATAACTTCAAAATGTTAATTTTTGAAGGGATCATTATAGACTTGTTGTTGTTATCAGGTATTAATGTAGCTATGATGGATATATAGAATTGAACTGGCAAACCGGCAGCATGAATGGCTCCAAGTCTTCCAGCCTGTAGATGTACAGATGATGGTCCGCATCACAGTCACCACAAGTAAGTCAGTCTTAATATCTTATTTAGATCTTTTATTGTTATTATTATTTTAAATCTTATTCATTTTCTTCCTTTATGTTGGCCGCAGCATTGATTTATAGCGTATCAACGACCATTCTTCTACATGATTCAAATAATTCTTGTTTCAGTACATATTCATTAACATTTATGGTAAACATAGGCAAATGTTTTGTATGAACAATGGTCCATTTAACCCACACTCGCACATCTATGCTTAACAGTTAATGCAGCTACAAAAAATGTAGGCAAAAGAAAAGTTTGTTGGCACTAAACCTCCAGCAATTAACCTCTAAATGCTAGAGAATTGATGAATAATGTGGATTTGTCATTTGATATATGAACAGTCCTGGCTATGTACTATGTAAACTAAAGAATATTGTACTACAAAAATGTTTTCAAAAAATTGTTAACTAATGTACAAACATGCCCAATAAGTAAAAGAAATCATGGTTCTGTTTTAGGAGGGAAATTACATCTTTAGCTTGACCCAAGAACGGCTTGTCAGTGTCCCTAATATTCCAAAGAAATGCACAAAATTCTTGTGCACATTCCCAGTAAAGAAGTTTCAATTTGTTGCAAGTGATTGTGTGTTTCATGCCCTATAAGATTGTTGTGTTATGTGTAACAATGATTCAATGATATTGTATTGATTTGTGTATGAAAAAACAATATATTTGGGCATACATTTTGTACTTTTTGAATTGTTGATATTTTTCATGATTTGTGTTTATTACCAGAATGTGCCTATATGAATATATGAAATCTTTTACTATTACACCCTGTACATAATTAGTTGAGGGGAAATAGGACAAGAATTTTTTATCATGTGTGCTTATACTTGAACATTATATAGTGTGCTTATTTAGTAGTAGTTGCCTGTGATTGGATATCGACCAAGGAACACTGTTAGCCAAATTTGTATGGCTTTCACATAGTGAAAAGTTTTGTTCTTTGCCCTGAACTTTTGTTTGAAACATTTTTCATGTATTAACCATAACCATGATTTTACCGTTATTATTTACGCTTGTAATTTCAGTTGTAATAGTAGAGAATATCGGAGGACTAAATGGACATTTTAATTATCTCTAAAATAGGTCACATAATAATGTTTGTAGGTTTGGCTATGTTGATGTAAAGCCACAAGATGTAGACAAAGCTCTTGAATTGAATGGGAAGGAGTTGAATGGTGAACCAATTACAATAGAGAAGTCTAAACCTAGAACACAGGAAACTCAGAGTGGCGGTCGAGTACAGGGAGGTTAGTGTGTTTACTAGTATTATAGTAAGGAAATAAATGGCTGAATTGCTTAGATGTGCCGAGAACCACGAAAACTTGCACCTCATTGTAGGTAGTTGTGTTGGTATTTAGTCAGAAACATTAATATATAGCCATATTAAAGTGATAAAACTTGAGTGTGTTAAACATGAAAAATACTACAATTTAATATTTTAACAATGAGTTTTGGGTCTTTTAACAGTCTTTCAGTTATGTGTTATGATAAATACATGTGGGTGTTTTTCAGGGCTGGGAATCAAAACTGCGTCGTATCCTACAAAATGTAAACAAACGCCGCCATCTTGGAACGAAAAATGTATGTTTTTGTTTATAACTTTTTTTGTTGGAAATGACTGAAAACCAGATATATGTATTAACACGCTACACTATTTTCCGCTTCGTTCGGTATATGTTGCTTGCACAACTATTTTGTAAAACAAAAGTTATAGCGAACTTGCATCTCGAAGCGGGGGGCAGAATTTTTATGAAAAATGTGTGGATACGACGCAGTTCATATTGCTTTATCTATCGTTTTTCCTTCAAATCAATTATATATTTGTTTCAGAGTTCACCATAAACTTCGAAATATAATTTTGCATCAGTTACTAAAATTTCATTAAATAGAGATGTTTATTTTCTTAGAAAATAATGATTTTTACGAAATGATACGACGCAGTTGAAAATAAAATATGATACGACGCAGTTGTATTTTTGGCAGTCTTTTCAACAGGGATAATTTTGGCAAAATATTTCTATTTTATGGAATAATCACTTGCGCTAGATAAAAAAACCCAGATCATTTGCGGTGTATAGCAATGTTCTGTTAATTTTGATTATTTAGAATACATTGTGTCATGTCCAATATAACATTTAATTTGAAAGTTTACATTGCGGAAGCTACTTTTCAGTTAAACATGTTACATAGTTGATCATAATATCTGAAATAATTTCTTATATTTTCCTGTATGTTCAATATTATCCCTATTTTTTATTCGCAAAAAAATATAGAAATCTATTAACTTGAATCCATGTTGGCTAGCTACGCTCTAAATTAACTGTGGTTCTGCATGTTCTGGGTAATGACTGCTTTTTTGTGGTTTGTTAACAAACTTTCACTCTACACATTAGCTTTACTAGGTGCGAGGACCTCAGGTGCGCCTTTGTGCATTATTTCAGGCAAAATGTTGCACCTGCAGAGAACCATCGACATTTTGAATCTAGCTTGATAGGTTTTCCACACGAAAGAATAAAAAGTCCCTGGTGGTTTTCGAATTCATAGCAAGTGATTTGAATTCAGTACACATAAACAGCTCGGTCACGGTCGGACACACCTGTCTGATTTGTTTTTTCAACAAAATTTGTTAACGTCAGCTGTACAAATAAGCAGCTTTTTTTATTAACTTCGGGCGTGAAGTTATAAGATTATAAATATTTGAATTAATTATAAAGAGAATAACATTTAAATTTCTTATTTCGGTATGACTAGCAGAGAAATTTTCAATGTAAACAGGGGGTAATCCTCTGTGAAGTCATTTTCTGAAAACCTTTGTTTAAGTTTTCAGGCAATTCATTATCAAATAAAAATCACACTTTAGTATGAAGGGATGTTAAGATGCCATGTCTCTAGTCTGTTGAAAATTCGATGCGATAATCTGACCTTAATTTTCTGTTCAATAGTGTGAAAACTTCTTCAATACTGTTGAAAGATCATGTCTGCCTAGCTATATCTGTATCAAATTTATCGGTGCACAGCGTAAAATACCTTTGCAAAACGGACACCTTCTTTACAAAATAATCTGTAGTTGTATCATATGTAACTTGATTTTGAAAATTTAAAGATTTTTAATGGAGAAGAATGATACTTAAGTGCAAATATAGAAAATACATTCCGTAGACCTTTCCTCATCGGCGATAAAGAAATGCAATACGACAACATCATGGGTAAAGTTCCGCGGCGCTGAACATAAAATGACTAAACGGAACGCATAGCCTACTTGCAAAAATATATTGTAGCTTAACCATTTATAATATAATTTAAAAAATTTAATGTTCAGTTTCAAATAATAAAGCTCATCTGTTCTCACCGATTAAGAAAATGAATACAATAAAATCGGCACGTAAAAGACATAAGTAATAACGGAATTGACAGAAATTATTGCTAGTTACAAGTAACAAAGGTAGGCATGAAATTTGCGCATAGCTCTCTTCGGATAGCAAAAGACATTTTCAAAATTTGTAATTCTTTCTCTCTGTTTTTTTTTTAAAAAAGGTCATTCCTGATGAATACTAGTAAAGGGTTCAGGAGAGGTTACACTGGAATATTGAATTTTGTATCAAAATTTGTAATCACTCCCATTTCGATCTCACGGGAACAATTTTAGAAGCATGCTAAGGCAACACTGGAACACGTTGTCATATGGTTGTGCGATCACGTGTTTATTGCACAATGTATATTGCATTTGATACAGTTTTTCGGAATTTGTAGATGCTTAATATGATAGGTACTTAAATGCGACCGAAAAATGCAGCCTTAATAGAATTGTATTACATTTCCATTTTTATGGAACCAATGAGTGACCTCTGCTTTTGACTTAAGTTGTAAACAAGAAATGTTGTTGGACGTTATTAGCATACCTAGCACATAATTTAAATAGTTTAAAGCCAATATGCAGCCTGCAATGAAAATACAACTGCGTCGTATCATATTTTATTTTCAACTGCGTCGTATCATTTCGTAAAAATCATTATTTTCGAAGAAAATAAACATCTCTTTTTAATGAAAATTTAGTAAATGATGCAAAATTATGTTTTGAAGTTTATGGTGAACTCTGAAAACGAGTATATAACTGATTTGAAGGAGAAACGATAGATAAAGCAATATGAACTGCGTCGTATCCACACAATTTCATAAAAATTCTGCTCCGCTTCGAGTTGCAAGTTCGCTATAACTTTTGTTTTACAAAATAGTTGTGCAAGCAACATATACCGAACGAAGCGGAAAATAGTTTAGCGTGTTAATACATATATCTGGTTTTCAGTCATTTCCAACAAAAAGAGTTATTAACAAAAACATACATTTTTTTGTTCCAAGATGGCGGCGTTTGTTTACATTTTGTAGGATATGACGCAGTTTTGATTCCCAGCCCTGATTTTAGCAGTTTTATATCACTGCTTTGCTTGAATGTCACTGCTTTGCTTGAATGTGAAATCGTCACAATAATCAACTTCAAACCATTCCATGGATATAAAAGAGATTGCTAGTACATTATATTTATTGCTTGTGTTCTGTTTAAAAAAAAATGTATCGCATACCCGTGCTGTGCATATATTTTGATGTGACAACACCTGCGTTATTCAAACAGCAAAAAAGAGCACTAAATATTAGTGTTATACTACAGGAGTGTCGATGTAAAATATTGTTTTATCTAAAAATGTTTCCTTTATGTATATGATGAATAGAATAATAACTTAATTTATTTTAACTTGTTTAATAAGATAATATGCTCGCTAGAGGCTCACATAATAGAATTATATTCATTTCATTATATAATGCAGTATTGAACCTACACTCAATCATTGTCTATATATATTTGTAAGAAACGTGTTATATATGATACATTCAAATATTATTGTTTGATATAATATCAGGAGATTCCAAAACGTTGTTTGTGAAGGGATTAAAGGAGGACATCACAGAAGAGGAACTTCAGTCATTTTTTGAAGATCCTGATGAAGGGATCAACGTCACTGAAGTCCGGCTGCCCAAAAGCAGAGGAGGTGGCTCCAAGGGGTACAACTCTTTTCTATTGTTTTTCTTTATAGTATATGAAGTTTAATTTTGTAGTAAGCTTAAATGTTCAAGGATTTTTACCAAGTTTCTATTTTGGGTAAAATTACGAAGGCATGTTTTGAGTGAAATTATTTGATTTTATATAAACTTATTAATTGTTGGGGTTTTTATTTTGGTAAAAAAGGATATAATTGAATATTTTCAATTTTTGGAATAGATTTTTACATGCGTGTGATTTTGTTTTTAGAGAATTTTAAGAAGTCATAGTATTTTCTGATTGTAAGATGTATTCTTAAGAAATTCTCAAAGAATAAGCTAATATGATTTACAACAAACAAAAAATTATATCGCACAAGAAAAAGCATTGAAGAATGAAATTGAAGTTTTGACATTAATGATTATGTATATGTAGATTTGGATATGTGGTGTTTGATAATGAAGATGCCCTAGAGAAAGTAATGAAAGATAAACAGGAGACGGAACTTGATGGTGAGAAAATCTTCCTGGACTACACAGATGAGAAGAGTAAACATGGTGGAAAAGGCAAAGACAAAGATTTTGGTAATAATCGTTTTCATGATTATAGTTATCAAAATCTAGTGTATATAGAAAATACATGTAACTATACAATTCTCCTGATAAATTAACATGCAATTCTGAAATAATATGAAAATCATGTTTTTTTAAAAATCCCTAAATGACAAAACAGCAGTTGATCAAAATTTTATTTTGACTTAGTTTTTGTCTTTTATTTTTATGATCTGACCTGCTATACAACAGTTCTTGTTTATTTTCAGGCCCATCTAAGGTTTTGTTTGTGAGAAATCTGTCATTCCAAGTGTCAGAGGATGAGCTGAAAGAATTGTTTGATGGGTGTGAAGCCTGCAGAATACCACCTAATGAATATGGGCAGTCTAAAGGGTAATGATATTTCTGGTTTTGATAACATGCATGTTAACATCGATTTTATGTTAAATTAATATATAACCCCTCTGAGAGTTATTGTACATAATGTTGAGGCATTAGGTGAGATAAAATAAGGGTAACTAAATGTAATTTAGAGATATCTTGCCCTGTTGTAACGAAAGTTCTTCTACGATACACATTGTAAGCAACTAAGCATTAGAAAGTTGTCGTGTGTTTCGAAAGTTCGGAATTTATGATCAAATGATATGATTAAAACGTATGTAAGATGAGTTTATGAAGGATGCAAGGAACCTAGATTTTCTTTCCTTTTTAGCTCACCTGTCACAAAGTGACAGGGTGAGCTTTTGTGATCGCTTTTCGTCCGGCGTCCGTCAGTCCGTAAACTTTTACTTTAAATGACATATCCTCATAAACCACTAAGCCAATTTCATCCAAACTTCACAGGAATGTTCCTTTGGTGGTCACCTTTAAAAATTGTTCAAAGAATTTAATTCCATGCAGAACTCTGGTTGCAATGGCAACCGAAAGAAAAAACTTTAAATATCTTCTTTTAAAAAACCATAAGAGCTAGAGCTTAGATATTTGGCATGAAATATCTTCTAGTGAGTGTCTACCAAGTTTGTTCAATTAAAGCCCTGGGGTCAAAATTGGCCCCGCCACGGGGGGTCATTGATTTTCCCTATATGCATATAGTAAAAAATTAAAAAATCTTCTTTTAAAGAACCCAAAGAGCTAGAGCTAAGATATTTAGCATGAAACATGTTTTAATGGGTGTCTACCAAGTTTGTTCAAATAAAAGCCCTGGGGTCAAAATTGGCCCCGCCCCAGGGGGTCATTGATTTTCCCTATATGCATATAGTAAAAACTTAAAAAATCTTCTTTTAAAGAACTCAAAGAGCTATGGCTAAGATATTGAGCATCAAACATGTTCTAATAGGTGTCTACCAAGTTTGTTCAAATAAAAGCCCTGGGGTCAAGATTGGCCCTGCCCCAGGGGTCATTGAATTTCCCTATGTGCATATAGTAAAAACTTGAAAAATCTTCTTTTAGAGAACCAAAAGAGTTAGAGCTAAGATATTTAGCATGAAACATTTTCTAATAAGTGTCTACCAAGTTTGTTCAAATAAAAGCCCTGGGGTCAAAATTGGCCCCGCCCCGGGGGGTCATTGATTTTCCCTATATGCATATAGTAAAAACTTAAAAAAATCTTCTTTTAAAGAACTCAAAGAGCTATGGCTAAGATATTTAGCATCAAACATGTTCTAAAAGGTGTCTACCAAGTTTGTTCAAATAAAAGCCCTGGGGTCAAAATTGGCACCGCCCCGGGGGTCATTGATTTTCCTTATATGTGTATAGCAAAAACTTAAAAAATCTTCTTTGTAAAAACCCAAATAGCTAGAGTTAAAATATTAAGCATGAAACATCTTTTAGTGAGTGTCTACAAAGTTTGTTCAAATAAAACACCAGGGGTCAAAATTGGCCCCGCCCCGGGGGTCATTGATTTTCTTTATATGTGTATAGCAAAAACTTAAAATCTTCTTTGGAAAAAACCCAAATAGCTAGAGTTTAGATATTAAGCATGAAACATCTTCTAGTAAGTGTCTACAAAGTTTGTTCAAATAAAAGCCCTGGGGTCAAAACTGGCCCGGCCCCAGGGGTGTCATTGTTTTTAACTATATGTGTATAGTAAAAACTTTAAAAAAATCTTCTTTTAAAAAGCCCAATGAGCTAGAGCTTAAATGTTTAGCATGAAACATCTTCTTATGGGTGTCTACCAAGTTTGTGCAAATAAAAGCCCTTGGGTTAAATTGGCCCTGCAACGTTTGAGGGGGGGGCCTATATACAGGTGAGCGACCTCAGGGCCATCATGGCCCTCTTGTAATTGCATTACCATGTTAAAAGAAGACAGAAGTGTTTTTCCAGATATTTGTAAAGTTCATTGTCAGAAACATTAGAACAAGATATATTATGTAATTTCAGGTTTGGTTTTGTCGAGTTCAAGTCCGTTGAAGAAGCTCAAGAGGCTAAGAAGGATAAGGATGGCTTGGAAATAAATGGCCGTGTTGTGCAGTTGGCATTCGCTAATGACAAACCAGGAGGTGCCGGTGGGGCTCGTACAGGTGGCGGCGGAGGTGGAGGTAAAATATTTAAGAAATTACTATTTCTGACAACTGAAATTCATTTCTTCCCTCTTTGGGGTGGGGGGGGGGTTAAATGATTGAAAGGCTTCAGGGATATCAGAACCAGATTATTTCTGAAATTATTGAAATCGAGATTGTGTCTCGATGCGATCAGTTTTAGTACAGTGGCAGAAGCAGAGATTTGTGTTATGGAAAAAAAAACTTGAAATTAATTACGAGATGATTGTTTTTAGAAGGTTTTGTCTGAACCCCCATTTGTGGCTATACGCAGAATTATTTGGTCCTTTTCCTGTGAAGTGGAGTGTCATTCTTTGATATAAAGTGTGTGCATTTAAGTCCGAAATGAAAACACGACTTGTTCCTTTGTAGTCAATGTTTAATTTATTTTTTTCTCCCGTGAAATGAGATTTAATCATCTTTTATGTGAAGAAAAATCATTAAAATGATATTTTAATATGCTGGGTTTTTTGGTTTCAGGTTATGGTGGAGGAAGAGGAGGTAATTGGGGCGGTGGTGGAGGTGGTGGTAGATACGGTGGTAGAGGTGGCGGAGGCTGGGGTGGTGGTGGTGGTGGCGGCAACAGACGAGGTGGCGGAGGCTGGGGTGGTGGTGGCGGAGGTGGATATGGTGGTGGCCGCGGCGGGGGTGGAGGATATGGTGGTAAATAGCTTACACTTAATAAAAGAAAAGTTCATTTGTGGTTATTTCCTTCATTGATGTAATTTTTCTTGAACTTTTTAAGACCAGTTCATTTTAACAGAGGTATTGTAACAGTCCTAGCAAGTTCTTGGTTGTATTGTTTTCATACTTTGGAACATTAACCCTTGGGATAAGAACTTCAAGTAGACCAGGCTTAACTTGACCGTCATTCATAAATGATTGAATTTTGGTCAAAATTTCTTAATTTTGTTATTTATATATGGATTTGAATCATACATACATGGACAAAACAATACTTGTGACCAAATAATTAAGATGACCTTGAACTTTAAATGACCATGACTGTCAGTCATTGAATTTTGCTTGTATTTTTTAAACATTATTATTTATCTATGGAAATGATTCATACTTGGTCAAAACAACAAGTGTGACCAGACAGACCTATTCAAATAAAAAAAGGGAAAAACTAAATGATTTCTTTTATTAGTTTTTTGAAAGATTTTTCTAAACTGTTCCATTTGTATTGCACTTTGGAAAAATTAAAAAAAGTCCAGGGTTGTCCCCGCTCGATGATGGCTCTTGTTAAATGTATATTTGATTTTTAAAAAAAAAATTTTTTCTTTTTTTTAATAAAAATGTAGTTTTTAATGATAGGTTCTAGTAAGTATATATATAAATAAAGAAATTGTCCAATTGCTTTTAATTATTATCACTTGGATAAATGTAGTCACAATAGATATGAGCCGCGTCACGACGAAACCAACGTTATGCGTTTTCGATCAGCATGGATCCAGACCAGCCTGCGCATCCGCGCAGTCTGATCAGGATCCATGCTGTTTGCCATCAGTTTCCTTTCTTGTAATAGGGTTTGTAAGCGAACAGCATGGATCCTGATCAGACTGCGCGGATTATTACCACTAGGATAAATGTAGTCACAATAGATATTGTGAAAGTGTTATTTTCTGTTGCAGGAGGAGGTAGAGGCGGAGGATTCCGTGGAGGACGAGGTGGTGGTGGTGGTTGGGGTCGCGGTGGTGGCGGCGGCGGGGGAGGAGGTGGATTCAGGAAGAGGTGGTAGAGTCGAGCATCGTCCACATTCATCATCATCGGTCATTCATCATCATCATCCATTATTTTTATCATCAACATTCTGAAGTGTTGTCATAGTATCAATGTTGTCCATTTTTCTGTATTTTTTGTTAAAAATCTATCATGTACATTATATTTCAACACAAAAGAAAAGTTGATAAATTTACCTCTGTTCTGGCACGAACATTTATTTTAAGATTCTGATTAAGAATAGACAAAAAAGTTCTACATGGAAAAAAGAAACATTAGGTTTTAATGGAATTACCACAGTCATGCAATATTTATATACTTTTTAACTCTGTAAATTTTATTTAATGTTTGAAAGTGATTTTATCACAGCAGCAACAAAACATCATCATAATCGATAAGACTTGTTAGTAATTTGATCTAGAAAATCACTTTTGTTTCATGATGATTTTTGTAAGTACTAAACATTTGTAAAATTTGTCAATATGTTATGATTTTCAGAATTTGTGAAATAATTAAATTTACAGAAATATTATTATTGTTAAAAAAACAACAAAAAACAAACAAGAATAGTTTTTCCATATTAACACATTTATTACATTTTACTTCAGAAACATGCTTTATTATTACTAGTAGATATGGTTTTTGACATGAAATTATATGGTACTGAATTTAAACATGTTATTTCAGGCCAAAAATTACTTTTGTCTCTGGTAAGAAAAAGAGCACATGGTATTATTTTATTATATTTTTATTTGTAAACTGTCAGAAATGATAGGAAAATGAATTGAATGAGGAATATGTTTCAGAGACATACTGATTCTGAAAAATATGGACAAAAAAAAATGATCAAGTGTGCATTAAGGTATCAGACAATGACATATATTTGCCTTATTTACCTCAAGTCTTCACGCTGACCCATATTTTAATCATTGATCAAAAACTTACTTGAAAATTTTCATAAAGTCAAATTATTCAAATGTACTGTTGCATTAAATCTTAAATTGTGTGACATAGTTTTATTAACATCTTTTTTATTCAATAAATAATTGTAGTATACATATCTTGTTGTTGTTGTTTTTTGTAGAGATAGAAGGAATGAGTGTATAACACATTTTACCTATTATATAAATAACCATAGAAATTGAACAATATCACCATGTGTCTTGTGAAATAAATTACTTGAATTGATAATACTGAAAATGAGAACTTTTACTAAATTGTCAAGAGTTTCAGTGATATTGAAGTATTTGTCAGTTTATTTACTTCAGTTGACCATTAATTTAAGTCTCCAGTAGATAGTGTTAAATTGAAGGATGAGAAACCAGTTTGAAACCAAACATCCAGCACGATGAACAGTTGAGATCAATTTGTATCATTAATTATGTTGAGCAGTCATTGGTGAGGTCACAAATAAGATTATCTGAACATGCTTGACATTTACAGTATCGTTTGCAAACTGAAGTGAGAAAAAATTAATCTGGCTGTATAAAATGAGTTGAATGCGAAGTGTGGCAATCATGAATAATCCTTTTGACACTAATAATTTTATGGTGTTGCAGCTGTTCAACCATATGAACTTTCGATATAATACTGTCGAATAAAAGATATGCCAGTAAAAGTCGCCTAACTCGGAACAGTCAGAATTTAATAACTAAGAACATTTTGTTTTCAAATAGAAATTGCTAAAACTCCAAAAGCCTATAACGCACTATGGGTATTGCCCCTCTTAAGTCCTTTGTAATATGCGAACTTTCTTTACCTAACCACGATTTCCTTTTCTACCGCTAGTGTTACTTGCAGCCTTTCCTCTAGAACAATTGGGGCGTCCGTGGCCGAGTGGTTAAGGTCGTTGACTTCAAACCACTTGCCCCTCACCGCTGTGGGTTCGAATTGGATTCTTTCATGTGAGGAAGCTATCCAGCTAGCTTACGAAACGTCGGTGGTTCTACTCGGGTACCCGTTCGTGCCTGAAATAATGCACGGAAGGGCACCTGAGGTCTTCCTCCACCAGTAAAGCTGGAGCGTCGCGATATGACCTATACTGTGTCGATGTGACGTAAAGACCCAAAACAAACAAAATCTAGAACAATTACTGGATCAGCACTTTGTCTCTGAAAACTATTAAATAAAACAATATACTTTAATGTAACTATAAAAATTTTAACAGGATTGAAATGTTGCTATCTCCCGAAAGGGATAAGCTAATTTTTCGTATTAAGACACGAAAACGGCTCGATAATACTGATTTAATTAAATGCATATACACACGGAAAAACACTTTTCATCATGTTAGCCTGAATTTCAGTGCGTACTCATCATGCGTGATAAGCAACACTCGTGCAGTTGTATCATGCACGGGCCACGTAAACGCCGATTTCCGATATTTTACGCAGCACGCCTCGAATAACCATATTGAGTAAAACGTAAACAGAAACTTTGGACTTTGGTGTTATTCACAACTTCGCAAAAAAAACTTAATTGTAAAATCTTCAGCAACCATGTCACGGGTGTCAGAAAAAATCAACGTAATCAGGCTCTAGGGATGCTGCAAGCGGGTACTAGGGTTATGGCCGACGCACAGCATTTTGGCTGTTCTAGGCAATCAGTTCTTTATCTTAGTACACGGCTCGGTAATACCATGATCCGAGATCATGTGCACCTCGTGTGACGTCACTAAGGGACGACCACGTCATAAGGCTGAATCACCCGCAGACCGTATACTGTTCAGATACTGAGACTCCGCCATAGGGTTGGCCTGGGCACAGCGTCACTTACCCCAGACACGAAACCAGTGAGGTCGGGTTATTTTCAGCGACGAATGTCGCTTTAGAGTTAGTCCCGCTGACGGCAGGGTGCGAATCCATGAATCTATCGTCACAGAAATCGCCCAAGTTGATCCCAGATAAATGTAATGGGATTCATAACCGGGGAGACTGCACGTTAAAGTGATTGCAAACTAGAAAGTGGTTGTTAAACGGGAAGTGTGTGGTCTTGCATTGTCTTGCTGGAAAGTTAACCCAGGACCGTGAGCCTGCATGAATGGTAAAAATATGCACACTAGCATGTGCTGTAAGGTGGCCGCGCACAACCACAAGCTCTGTCTTTCGGTACCCCATAATCTCCCCTCTTACCATCACACTTCTCCCACCAAACCTATTCCTTTCCCGGATGCAAGATTGTGCGAAATGCTCATTTTTGTGACGATAGATTCGCACCCTGCCATCAGTATGACTTATCCCATATCGTATCTATATACATTATAACTGAATTATACATCTTTAATTTCAATGAAATTAATCGTGTACACTTATATTTCAAACATTCATTGCGTATATTAGTTACTTCATGGCCCAAGTTTTTAACAAATCCTTTTTTTGGTCTCCATTTTTACCTACCATTTTTACTTTCCAAAAGATTTTGTTCATAAAGTTTTTTATCTTAACAGATCTACACAGATACATGTATGTTATCTGTGTTATACCAGATCATCTAAGATTTTATAAAGGTGTTACAAATGTGATACCAATGTTGGTAACGTAGATTACAAAAATATCAACTTGTGATATCTGCAACAACAATAAGTAGTTCTTCTCCAAATATTTGACATGTTCCTATATTGTAGATCATTATATGGTAGTTTAATGTAATAACTCTGTTTGTTCCTGAGAAAAAAACTGTAATTTAGGCATAAATAAATGGTTTCTAAAAATGGTAACGTTGATTACAAAATAAGTAACGTAGATTACTTTTTCTTTGTTTCAGCAAGCATGGGTATATCATAGGCTGAAATACAGCGAGCCTTTTGTGGGAGGAAAAAATCAACATAATGAGTAAAATAACTTGGAAAAAGAACAAAATCATACTGAGCAACAACAGTGAAAAGATAAAAAAAAAGGGGGGGGGGGGGCTTTAGCGACCAGAACATAGAATGTCAGAAAAAAATGTCCAGAAATTGACACAGAATGAAAGAGCTTGAGACTCAAATACAAGTTAATAAATTAATTGGTCTGGTTGTGTTCAAGATGAAGACAGACTGATTGTCGATGATGAAAATGGTGTACGTTAAAGCACCCAGAAACACGAAAATAGTAGTTAGGCACATTGGTACCTTGGACTGATTGAAGAGATTGTCATAGCTGATGACGATTTTCTTGTTTCATACTAGCAAAATCGAAAATGTAAAGGGGTCAAAGCACCAACTTTCAATTGGCCAAACAATGCCGACAAGATTTGTTAAGTTAGAAGACGGTTTTCTGGCATAGATAAGTCGTCCAAAGTTAGTTGTTATGTGCGCTCTTTCAGGTTAAAAGAGGACGAGATAAGATAAATTTAAAGCGCGACATTCAGCTTTCATTTTTGTTCGCAAATGTTTTTTTTTTCTTTCAAATTAAGTATTGAAGTAATTTTATCTAAGAAAAATGCAACATATAATGTAAGAACTACTTTAAAACAGTGTCTAAAGATCTATTTAATTTTATAGAACGCCGGTGATGTTTGTTTCTAAAAATAGAAAATCGGAAAACGAATCACACGCTTTACTAATATACAAATAGATAGCGGACATGTAGATTAGAGGAATCCAGGAGTTTAATTATTGATTCTGTTTTATGATGGCAAATATAATTTTCCACCATATTTTTTTTATTTGACTTTTATATAAAACCTTCAGAAAAACAGGCCGCTTTAAATAAATGATTCAATGGCTTTGTCTCAAACAAAGCCGTTTTTTTTTTTTGTGTGTGTGTTTTGTAACTTTAAATAAACATCATGCTTAAAAATGAAAAAGATTTTCTTATGCGTTTAATCATACTTTTCTATTTCAATTTATGAATTAATTTATTTTCTTTTGCAATAGCTCTGACATCAACATTTTATTGTTTGACATGTTCAAACATATATAAAAATCCTAGAATATAAGGTTATCTACGTTACCATAACTGGTCAATTCTTTTACTTTGTTAATTTGTTATTTTTGGTCTGAAAGTAACAGCTTTAAATCAAGTCATAGACTTTGTTATATTTCATATTTTTTTATATATATATATGATAAAAAAGATAATGTCTTAATGGCATGCACAGGTATTTTACGGCCTTAAGCTATTAGTTTCTTAAATAAATGGATAAATGAATATGTTTGAGCATAAACCTTTCATAAATTAATCTCAGTCGACGAACTTATTACTGATAATTACATCTAAGATTATTCAAAAGCAAAAAAATGAAACATAGCTGTCATTTTATCTTTAATCATTTTTTTTTGCTGTAGCCCAGTTAAAGGTGATTCTTTGTAATTTTACGTTACCATTTCCTAGTTTGTTTTGTATTGGTGTATGCTGCATACAAAATATATTTTAAAGTCAAATACTGTTGTATGTTAATATTTGGTGCTTATAATTCATAATAAAATCAACTAAATAAGTACAACAATGAGTTTGTTTATGTAGCTATTATTACTGATGATCATATTTTCCAGAAATATTCAACCCAACATAAATGAAAAAGTTAAAGCTTGGTGTACGGTTTTATTAAATCCTGTGGATAAAATATGTAATGTTACTTTGACAAATTATTTATCGAAGTGACTATCTGTATCAAGTGCATTTATAGAAAATATCAAAATATCTTTAATATGACCATTGGTTTATTTTTAGTTAAGGTAACGTAAATTACATTTTGCAAAAGTACTCAATTTGTTTCAGTGGCTGTTCTACAGGTAATAATCGAGTTTGAGTGCTGTAACTTTCCCAATTTTTCAGACGCATATCTCTATAACCATCTATGTAATAAAACTTTGATAAAAAACAAGTTCATTTTTTAACATTTTGTCAATTTAAGTTGGGCCTATCTTGTGAGAATAGGTGATATATTCCATATCCCATTACATTTTATAAAAATTGCCGTTTTCATTGAAAAGCCTCCTGTTACAAGATCAAATTGCTATGAAACTATAAAAGATTCTTCAATATTCATCAAACTTGGCACAAATGTTGACTGGACCATTGCCTTTGTAAAGGCATGCTCAATCTTAGATTCCTGTTAGCATGACAACAATGGGCCAAA